AATCAACAGAAAGATGAGACATTGGAGAAGGCATCACAAGAAAAGGATGAACAACCAAAAGAAAAAGAAAACACATCAAAGATGAAGAAAATAAATCAAGAAGACCAAAATTCAGAAATAGAGGAGAAAAGAAGATAAGGTGCAAGTAATTTCTGTTGTGATAGAGATTCTATTGAATGCGAAGGGAAGTCAAATAATATTCAAATTGATCTGCCAAAAATTTCTTCAATTGTTAAAAAGGATGATTTGGTTGCAAGGAATGCCCGTCCAAAAGAGGTTGATATTTCACAAGAAAAATTGTTTGACGGTATTGAAAATGAATCTAGTAATAAAAGAAGCAAAATGGTTCATCAAGAGAAACTTTCTGACGATTTACCCAAGATAGAGACAAAAATAGCTTGAGATTCAGAACACAACTCATGATTATAGATATTGAAGATGCAATTAATTTCGTGCCATTATTCGAGATTGCATGTTTCAAGGAGCATGACGAAATATTTATTGGTGGCATTACTCTACAACCTATAGAACAGCCAATTGGAGTTGAATGGGCATTCAAAATCAAGGACAAGGCAACTAGATAAGTAGATGATTTTCAAGTAAAAGAAAAAGATGTTGATGATATTTTGAAGGAATTTATTATGGTTAAAGCCAAACCATATATGACCAATACTGAAGAAAAATTGAAGTTAACTAAAGATGGCACGTGTGATTTTTTTGATGCAACATAGCTTAGAAAATTGGTTAAGAGTCTAAGGTACTTGACTTCTACAAGGCTTGATGTTACTCATGCCATGCTCAAGTTTGAAGATCTTGGCTTAAGGGAGACTGTTGAAAAATAAATCAAGATTAATTAGTATTCCTAGATTGTCTAGGATTTGATTTTTACTAGTTTATTTAATTTAAGTCTAGTTAGATTTTTTTTACCAAATTCTGTCGAATAGTTTTTGTTAGTCTAGTCAAATTTGGTTTGTAATATTATAAAGAGTAAAACCCACTTTACCCCTTAACCTTTAATAGTTGGAAAATGATATCCCCCCCCCCCCCCCCTCATTTTGAATGAGAAATGGAACCCCCTTGTGCAATAACTTTTTGGTGAAACTTCTTTTTGGAATAAAAATCTTTTTGTTTTAAATAAATAATTTTTAAAATAACCAAGTTCTTCCATTATAGCCAAAAGCTCTACATATGACAATAATTAGGATCTATGTAATTTTTGGAGTGCCCCTTTAGCCTCTTCCTACTAGTTTAAGATATGATATAATATAAAAACACCTCCATAATGAATTTTCAAATATGGCCTTGTTAACTATAATTTCTGTTTAATAAAGATATTTTCAAGATAAGTAAAGTTCAATAATTGCTTTAGCATAATAATTTTAATATACACAAAAATACATAAATAAATTAATACTCATAGAACCAACTCTTTCATCGAATATATATGTTAGAGAATTGACTAATTCAGTATATTTTTTACTTCTAAATGAAAGGCTAAAGCATCCACGGTGGATGTGCGTTCAACATATTTCTTGAATTTTGTATACAAGGTTTTTTTCTTTAGTGCAAAAAATATAACAATGATCTCAATATAATAGGAAAATATCTTAAATTTTGCAAGCAAGAAAGACAAATCACGTATTGGTTTGGATGAAAAATATTATACTTGACCTTTCAAATAATAGAGAAAGAAAAAGATCTTTACTCGAAAAAAAAATTCTCACCGAAAAATATTTGCATAAGGGGGTTCCCATTCCCATTCAAAACGTGAAGGGGTATTATTTTCCAGCCCTTAAAGATTAAGGGGGTAAAGTGAATTTTACTCTATTATAAATAGGAGTGCTATAACATATATTGTTGTGGAGAGGTAGCTTCAATGTAGAAAGATTCAAGAGTTTATGCGTGAAGAAAAAGCTTCATACCACGTTCTCTCTCTAGTTTGATAAATTTCTTTTATATAGCTTTTGTTGAATTTTTTGCTTGTGACTATCTTCTATATAGCCTATATTCTATGATTTGGCTTGGTGGGAATTGAATTTTGTCGTATCGATGTAAAAATTGATGGCAACTTTTTTTTAATCTTTGTTTTTTTGATTTGTTGGTGTTTACTAAGAAGAAGGTATTTTGGCTTTCAGTTATTCCGTCGACAGAAAGAAAATTGCTTTCTTATTAAATTTAAATCTTAGCGACAAAATAAAGTGATGCTTTCCTTTTTTACCCTTGTGAAAAATAATAAAAAGATTTTTAATAGTTTTGCAAGGAATTAAGAAGATTAGGGTGCAAATCATAAAAACTAATGTAATAGAATAAGGTGTAAATCATCAAAGAATGCATATATTTTAGGGGGTGCAAATTACAACGTACTCATCTCAGTTAAAAGTCATGCTAATTAGTGGAATTTGAGTTGTTATTATGAAACTACTATTGAAAGATTATGATCAATATTAATTCTACCAATTAAAGATTTGACATAATATTGCTTGAAGTTGTATAGGACCTAACTATTATTGCCACTTTAAAATAGCAAACGCAATTTGAAAAAGTCGTATAACAGTTGGGGAAAAGTGTTCCGCGTTTAATTTATTTTGATTTTACTTAATATTTGTGTGAAATGATACCAACATTTACGTTATCATATGTTACTTGTCAGCAACATAAGATTTTCCAAATCTAACACATGATTCTCCAAATCTTATACTAAGATATGTTTTGTCGGAATCATGATAAATATACATCCATAGTAAATTGAATTCTACAAGATATGGTTTGCAATCAATCACTTGTTTGTTAGGGGCTAACGTAAAACAAAAAATGTCACAGTCTAATAGCTTATCTTTTCTTGCATATAAGAAATAAAATATTTCAACTTGGTCTGAAAAATATTTTACAAATTAATACAATTTAAACAAATTATATATTTCTTTTTCAAATATGATGATTGCCAATCTTACCTTACTCACATTATATAATGTCCTCTTGATGATAACATCGTGTAACATGCCAATAATATGTAATATAAGTAGCATGAAAGAAGAAACAATATATACAAGTCAATTAGTTATCAAGTCTAGTAAAAAATCTGGGACAAAAAATAGAGAAAATGGAGATTAACAATAATGTTGCTAAATCAGCTCGTCGGTCTTAGGCAACCTCTGCATGTTTTGTAGTTATATATATATTAACAAATTAATTAAGGTTGCAAAGAAAACCCCCACCCCCACCCCCTATCCCTTCTTTCTTTATTAAAAAAGAGTTTTGGTTCCTCGAACACTATAGGTTGCAACATGTAAGAAATATTTTACACTATCAGGTCACTCAAAGAATATTTACAGGTATACGTTCATAAACTATATATGAGATTTATAATCTTAAAAATAGAATAATACTTGTTACAATGAGTAAAGGTAATCAGATTAGTTAGTATGTATAACTTAGACTCTTGTTTACTTAATCAATTACTACCTATGAAGGAAATTTATCGTCATGAGGAGCAAGAAGTTGAACTGCTTAAAAATGAGGTGAGGAAGATGCTAGTATCAGATCATGTTGTATCCACACAAAAATTAGAGCTGATTGACATGATCCAACGACTGGGAGTATCGTATCATTTTGAAAACGAAATTGAGAAATCACTTAAACAAATCTACAACAGCTGCAGTGAATTTGATGAGAATGATGATGACCATAATATGCTTGAGACTGTTGCTCTTCGATTTCGATTACTAAGACAAGCCGGATACAACGTCTCATGCGGTTAGTAACTTTTTGCTCTAGATTAGGGGTGGCAAAATTGGGATTTTAATATATTTGGTGGGTCGGTTAAAAATAATTATAGCGGCTAGTCAAACATATACAAAATTTATACACTTACTACATATTATATACACAAAACATACATTTACCGATTATTAATTTGGGGGCGGCTATACTGTGTGGATTTCCTGGCAATAATTAACCCATGAAAACATTATCCCTTTCAAGTTTGAATCATTTATTAATTCAACCCATTTTAACTCGTCCAGTTCAATTTTGACTCGTCCAATTCAACTCATTTTGGCTCGTCCAATTCATTGCATCTAAAAGCTGGGCTGATTTGTAGTCCAAATTGACACACGAGAAAGTAGTCAAAATATTTATGAATACTTGTTTATTTGATATTTTATAGATAGCCATAGTAAAGAAAAAAGTCGATTTGGTAATTAAATAAATTAGAAGAAAGCAGAAAAAGAAGAACTTGGTAAGAATTGAACGGGTTGTGTTATAACCCGTTGCTCAATCCATTTTGATCAAGTCCATCAACTCAAGTTACGAGAGAATTTTTCATAAAGCACCATCTTTTAATCCTAATTAGCCATTTATAGATACCCTTTGCTATATTACGTTTTATAGATACCTTTTATGTTTTTATACAATGTATTTCATGTATTTAAGCTGTTGTATTCATTAATACAACAAAAAAAATAGGCGTAAAAACGGGAACTCCAGCTAAGTGTTATCTGTATTTAGTTGTATTCAAGCGCAATTAATGTGAAATACAGTAACGTTTTTGCGCAAATTCTGGGAACTTAAACTTGTTAAAAATGGAAGGAAATCAAATCACATGATAGTCTCCTAATTTAACTCAAAGAACTAAAACGAGTACACATTAATCTGTTCTGCTCAAAGAAAGCAACTCAGAAACGTGAAAAGAAGGAAAAACCAGAGCAACATCTGATCGAACTTCTTCAATTCTCTTCTCCTTTTTTTTCTATTGATACAAATTATATACAAAATAAGGTATAGTTGCTCTATACATATGGCAAGTTTAACAGTTTTGTTGCGTCATTCTGGCAAGTGGAACGATGAGGGCAATTATATCGATTTTTCAATTGAGGGAATAGTGATTAAGGAGTATGCCTCCTTAATGATCTAGTTGCTTCAATTTTCAATTCAACTGGTTATAGATTTGAGCTCTAAAGACCATTAAAATACAATACAAAGTAGAAGGAAATTGCACGCCAATGGAAATACACAATGATATGGGTTACAGAGTGTATGTAGAACTGAAAAAAGAGAACAGAGAATTTGGGATGTATCCTTTGTGCATAACAACTATCGAAAAAGAGCTTATATACGGAGGTAGTTTAAATCAAGGCGACATTATGCAAATAGACGAAGCATTTCAAAGGAACGGTTCCGATACAGATGATACACTGGCTATAGAATTTGTCAATTTAGGAGAAGCGATTGGAGTGTTCGAACTCCACAAGGATTTGATAATTTCAAAAACTATTCAAAAGGAGGTTATGGATGGACAAGTTTATAAGGATAAGGCTACATTGAAAGAGGTAATGGAGAATTATGCTATAGCTCAAAGGTTTCAATTCCGGGTTGATCGGTCTAATGCTGTCAGGTTTGCATGTATTTAAATTTTTGGTTCCTTTGTATTGTCCATTATTGATTCGCGCCGTTTGTTTAACGTAGTTGTATTTATGCATATTTGTGTTTTTCGTCCTGAT